TACATATGGAGACTTCGTTGACATATCCGGCTCAACGAGTGTCCTGTTATCGGACGCAATCCTGACTTTATCTGCAGCAGATGGTTGAGCTTGTAAACTCTACCAGCACCGGTCTAGGCCTAGCATTTTTATCATTCCACTTCCATTTTCCCAAACGAAAGATCCTTTTTATGTGTTTCTCCAGGTTTGTCGTTCATCCGTAGCAGTGCGAACAGATGTCCCCTCATGTGCTGGGTTCTGCTGCTCATACTTTGACAAAGTGGTTCCGGTACTCCTTTGATCACTTCATTCCTATTCCTTCCTAATGCTACCTCAGTGTTCCTCTCCAGTTTCTCTAATGTGATGGATGCAAAGACAGCCCTATCCCGGAGGTGCCCTAGTTCCTGTGCCTGTTTCGCTACGCCGGCTTGCAACTTCCTTATCGCACGGTGCAAATTTAGTTCTGAATCCACTTTGGTTTTACGGGCCACTCATTGTCTCACTTCGATCCATTCCCCTGTCGTTCTGTTCTCGTTTAGTGGAGAAGGAACGAGGCATTGTGGCGAATTATTTGTGGCTTCCTTTGCGACCGAGTGGCTATTTACATCGCTTTTGACGGGTGTGCACTGGGTCACTTGCGGTGGAACGGATTCCGGAGTGTGAGATACTTTCCCCTCCTTTAACCTTTCTGTGCAGAACGAAAAACAGTTAGAGCAGACCCACTTCATAAGTTGGTTATCCTCATATATTTGTATAAGTTTCTTCGTCAATTTACTGCACCTTCGATGGTACCACGACTTGCACGCATTGCATCATATGCCATCTTCAACGGCTTACCCGCAAGCTATCAGACCACAAGGGTGATTAGTTTTAGGTGCCTCCGTATGCTCATTTTCAGGTTTTCGTTTCCTATTTCCCTGCAATGTAGCTTCTTTATTCTTACTTCAAATTTGTGTAAGTGATAACCCAAATTTTGATGTCAGCTATGGTTACAATAATAATACAGCTTGATGGCTTCTATAAAGAATACAGATGTGCGTCACAATAACTGAGGCGGTTAAAAGTAGTTAGTAAGTAATTATTTCAAATACCTCACTAAAAGGGTTTGAGAATTCGAGACCTTGTACCCCTTGTGACACACTGACGAGTAGTATGCAAGGAAACCGGAAATAGGCGAATAATACTAAGCAATACAAGAAATGTTGCAATAATCTAGCAATCAAATCATGGTCAGCGTGTTCGCCGTTCGTCGTCGTCCACTTTACTTTTGTTTTGCCAGTACCACTATTTCATTACCAATCCCGTCATCAAACAATGTAATCTTAACAGTCGTGTAACCACCCACAGAGAGATAGTTCGCTGCGCCATTGGTTTTGCTCGATTGTGTTGACTCTACGTTCCCCACAACACTGCTTTTATACTTCAGAAAAGGTGCGTGACTCTAAGGTCCAGTTCATGCAACTTCCCCCTAATAGCCCGGATCTCAATGTGATTGAAAATCTGTTTTCTGTTTTGAAGAGAGAGGTCATTGTGCTACCTGTACATTGGATATTGGAGGCAAAAGTGCGAGAATGACTTTATAACAAAGTTGGTGTATTCGATGCCGAAGAGACTCGAAAATGTCCTGAAGAATAAAGGCAGACAAATCGACTATTAGTGCATAAAACTTTACATGCTAATTATTATCAGTGTTAATTAATTGTCAACAAAAATTGTTTTCTTCTCTTTAGTTAGCTCACAACCCATCGAGGTCTAGGTCAACTACTACTGACGAAATGAGAGTATTCTGAACCATTCCATCTGTTGAGTATAAACGAATAAGGAAAATCACGACTATAAAGGCTCGCCAAGGCTGTTGCCAATACGAACTCCCAAGAAACCCGTCACTTTAGTTTGGATTAGACCTGTAATCTGCTCATGTTGAGTTGACTGGTTAAAGAAAGTAGTGATCACTTTGAGTGGAACTGACTGTCGCGGTCTTATAGTTGTTTTTGGAACATAAGTTATCATAGCTTTCAGCTGTGCAAATACTCCGAATTTAAACATTTTCCCTCATAGTGCTCGAAATCAATACACATAAGGATTATTCAAGGGTTCAAACGGAAATCACCGTGAACCCCTTTGCCTATTCATCCCGTTTGTGAGTAGTTTTATTTCCAATCAGTCTTCACCACCATATATCTCAGTATTTGTTCACAATTCTCAAACAAGCATGTACAGTTGTTGCCTTAACGCGATCTCGTTGCACTCTACGGCTTTCTTGTATGTCTTCCTTTTCCCTTAAGCGATCCTCGGAGCTGTCCTTAGACGGCCCCGATCCGGATCCACAAGCGTTCAGTGTTCGTAGGATCGAGTCCATCTCAGACCGTCTGAGCGAAGTAGGCTCGTCCATGCTGGGTCGTTCGATGACGCGCTACGTTGACACCTTTTTCTACATCAGTCCAGAAGTGCAAGCTGCCAGTCGAAAACATGTTCTATGATGAGGTTTGTTTCTTCACATAAGGCTCATTTTTTGAGTGTTCCTGTCTCTCACTGTTCCACGCGGTTCTGTGATGTTTTCCATAGTTTGGATAATGCAGTAGGAGAAAGACAGGGAGACTGAATGTAGATTCGAAGAGAAAATGGAGAATTTCGGTGGATGTTGCAAAGAAATTGAGATGCACGAACGACACTCAACCATACCACTCAATGTCTCTAACCACGTGGTGGGCTCCGGGTAGTCTATTACCGCTTGAATTTTGTCAATCAGTGGCGCGATACCAGTGGCGGTAATGCGATGACCGAGGAAATCAATGCT